ATCAATTCTCCGCGTGTACATTCGAGGGAAATTCCGCGTGTACAGACGAGGCTCCGCCCCTCCTCCAGCCACTGGACACTTCGACCAAGCAGCTGCTGTGGGCCTCCGACCCAGGTGCTCGACATTTCTGGGCGAAACGTGGCGTCGGTCTCTTCTGCTGCGCGGTCTTCACGCTGCGTGACTCATGGAAAGGCCGAGAGAAATGGAATTGCTATGAATTGCTATGAATTGCTCGTAGCAACTCGGAGAAGCCTTGCGCGCCCTATCACCCAAAAGCCTTGCAAGAACACCTTCAACTTCATGCATACTTAGTACTTCAGTCACTGGGGAGTTCGCCCACTTGCCATCCATGCTCCACCTAAGTCTGCCACCTGAGTCTGGTATCAGAAGGAATATCTCATAACGATTCGCTCAGCCCATCGGCCATCACAGCTCCTTGCATCACACGGCTGCGCCAGTTGGAACACGGCATTCCCCCATTCCATCCAGTTCGACGATTGTTGGGGACCACCGAGGTAAAGGAATGTCCGAACTTCGGATCACCCAGGTTTAAGCACGGTGGACTGGCCTTTCGGGGGTTCCCTAACTCCGCCTGGAATCAATGGTAGTTTACACTAAATTGAAAAGAGACCTCCCTGGACTGACTCTCCATCTCTATCTGGGGCCAATCTTCGGCTAGGAAGATGCTTCTCACGTCAATAGATGTTTTTTATTTTTGGCGTGAGACCATGCGGCCGCGCTTGGAAGTCGCAGCCGTTGGGTGAAACGAAGACTCCTGTGCAGCGGCAGCGGGCCACCTCCTGTGCACGCCGCAAATTTTGGCCCATGGATGCCCAAATACGGGAGTTTGTTACGGACTTGGGGCAAGCAGAACATGCCAACCCGAACACTGTACTGTTTGCCTCAGGTGTATATAACCATCCTGAAGTACAGAGATTTCGGTGCAACTCAGTCCGGCGGCACTCAACCAAAAAAGATGCATAGAACATCGGGGTCCCTAAAGTCATCTGCAGGACTGTGTTATCGAAACACCCGTGCTCCGATCGAAACACCCGCGCGCACCAACTCAGATGTTCCAAGGTGTTCGAAGTACCCAAATTGATCCGCTTGGGAATATTCCAAGTACCTGTTTCTTTTGGTCAAAGCAGGGCACTTAGAATATGGAATTGAAATGACAGAATGTACTTTGGCGGTTCAATTCCGTATTCTATGTACTTAAGGACGGCTACTTATATATCACTAGTCACTATATAGTTAAAAAATTGTATACATACAATACAATACAATACATTACATTGCTATACTTTACTCTACTCTACTCTACTATACATAACATAACATAACATAACAGAACATAACATAACATACATGGTTCAAGGTTTGAGGTCTCAAGCAAGCCCCCTGAAACCCTGCTCGTGCGGAACCCCTGCCGCTACGAGCCCCCAATCCTGCCTGCCGGGAATTCAAAGTCGAAGTTGATCCATGCAGCTTTTGCTGAACGCAGCACAATCCCCTATCAACTTTGGCTTCCCGTGCTCTTTCTCAAACTCTCCAGTTCGCTCCAGCCTGCCAGCTGCTCCACTTCGATCCCCTTGTCTTTCCTCAGCACAGCACAATCTCACAAGTTTTGAAAAAATCGCTCATGCTCAATGCAATGTTTCACAGTGCCTGCCACTGCCTCTGGCTGGTTGCAGTAGCCAGCTGGGTCTCACAGCGAACACATTTGGGTGAAATTTCAATTTGAAAGAACTCATAATTCCTCCAGCGTTCATGTTTCACTTCGGGCCTCCTCAAACGACAATAGGATGTTCACTCAAGTTTTTATAGGGCGCCTTGATGACAACATCCAGGGATACGTTGTCTCCTCGAAGGCCCTGTGTGCGTGCGCCGAGCCTCCATCAGCAGTGAATCCCACCAGGTATTGTTTGGGGAGCCCCGACATTCCGAATCTGACGAAAAATGCCTGCAGCCTCAAACCCGGCCAGGTCTTTGTAAACCACCCGGGTCGTCACTCTCTTGCCCTCTTTCACATCGAAGAAAGACAAAACAAGTAGCATGAAGCGATCTTTTTCGTCGACCGATATGGAGTAGTATGGGGAAGCCTTGACCCGCTCCAGCAGTTCTTCCAAATGGTGCGCAGCCAACAAATCTCTGCATTCTCCAAAGATCTGGTCACTATCTTGGCTCATTGGCAAAGTCCCTCCACACATCCGGGCGAACTCCGTCAGCTGACGGAAGCCGACAGTGGAATTTTCATTGTAAATTGTTGAGTACGCCCCAGCCATCAGATTCTCGAACAACTCCAACGACGTCGATTTCCTTCCCTGTGAGGCCAAGCTTTGTTGACTTCCTGGAGTTTGAGAGCGTGGTGAAACCATTCTTGAAGATGTCGAAGAAAACCACACGCCTGCGGCGGGGCGTGGTCGGTGGCTCTGCTGGAGCAGCTTGTTCGGACAAGTTTCTCACATGACGTGGAAATGCTGCATGTTGGTTCAAGGTGCACCGTAGAAGTACTTGCCGATCTCATATTGCCCCTCGAATGCCTCTTCCCCCCTTAGTGCGGGCAGGCGGGTCCTCTGCAGCCATGCTTGACCTCCTAGTCGCCACCGCTACCACGAAAGCTGTCCCAATGAAAATGATTCAACAATTCGTCGCGAGCCTGTTCATGCATCATGTCAACTGGTTTCAATTCAATATGCTTGAGTGCGGATCTCTCTTGCATTCCAAACTTGGGCCAAAACAGCAACAAAGAAGGCAGCTTTAAAAAGAGAAACGAGCGAGCAGTGTTAAAAAATGGTTTACATGTTGGAGTGCGCAAGTTTCGTCAAATTCTATGTGAGAGGCTTTTGTTGCAGGGCCCTCACACAAGATAAATTGGATCAATAAATTGGTCACGAAAGATCCTTAGCATTGTGGGAAGTTGGATCAAGAGCCGATTGTCAGAGCCCTCACGCCTAGTCCAGCAATCCACGTCGCCTGCCAGTGGAAGGGGTGGGAGTCGGGTAGACATGCGGATGGAGTGAAACAAAAAAGGCCTATCTGCTTCAGATGGTCCAGCTTCGATTCAAGCAGCGCCATAGTTTGCTCGCTCAACAATGCACTGGTAAGTTGAACCCCTGCAGTTGTATGATGTTGTATGCCTCTTGGGAGGTACAGGCAGGTGCCCCAGCCGTCAGCGTCCCACACCTCTTCTGGGTCAACCTCAATGCCTTGTTGGCTTGCAAGTTCCATCGCCTCTGTGCAAAAATCAACTTTCTCAAGCTCACCTCGCTGCTAGTGCTTCCCAAAAAAAAAAGTCTTCACATCCCCATGCACCGTGTCTCTCTAGGTAACGTAGCCAACAACAACACAACCTTTGGAGTCGCTTGGGGCAGAGTCTCCACCAGTCTGCCAGCCTGGTTGGGTGTATCTCTGCATCCTCACAAAAGAAAGACACATCTAACGCTGCGTCCCCCCTACTCCTGCATTTTGAACGCGCGCGCCGAACCCCAATGGATCGGCGTCGAAGGTGCTTCCTCAGCCATGGACGAGCATCACAAAACTTGGAGAAAAAGTCTTGGTTGCTTGTTGTGTTGGCACCGTTGTCTCAAAGGGAAAAGTAAGGAGTGGCAAGAAAAGGAAATGGACAAGGAAAGGAAAAGGACATATAACGGAACAGGTGTAAAGGAAAACGGAAAAGGAAAGGACGGCCGTGCGAGGAGTAGATGGCGCAACATTTTTGAGGGCCGGGAGTGTTTTGCTGCATATCATGGGTCGTGGCTGCTCATGTCATTGCCTTGCGGCACATCTCTTGCCGCTGCCAGTGCCGGGACCAACACGACAGCAGTGCAAGTCCCAGGGCAAGGAAAGGATAGGGAAAGGAAAGGAGAAGGCAAAGAGAAAAGGAAAAGGAAAGGGAAAAGGACAAGCGAAAAGAGAAAAGGAACATGTTTTGTCACAAGTGCTTTTGATGGGGTTGCGCCACCTACGCGGTTTTCCTTTTCAGCGGAAAATTTTGGGGCTGCCGGGAAATGAGCAGCCACGACCCATGATATGCACTCTCTTGCCCCTCTAAAAAGTATTGAGCCATCTACTCCCTCATGATTTTGCTGCCCAGTCGATGGGTGAATGAATACTAAAAAATCACGAAACCTTGCAAAAACAATCTTAAGATATAAAAAAATCGGGACGGCGCGTTTTCGACAATCGCCTTTGATCGAGTCCACTGAGTCTACTGGGGCCGTTTTTGCTTGCTACCCCTTTTGTGGAGTACTTACTTTCTTTGCATGCATACATACATTACATTACATTACATTACATTACATACCTACCTACCTAATCCTACCTACCTACCTACCTGCCATGCCATACCATACCATACCATACCATACATACCATACATACCATACATACAATACTGTATTTTACAGGATCAGCTCTAATAGTACTAACTACCTAGCTAACCCTGCTAGCCCGGTAAGCGCTACCTTTTGCTCTACCTTGAGAGTCAACGCTACGGGGTCCATGGGGATGAGGTGAATTTCAACAAATACAATACAATACAATACAATATAATACAATACAATACATACATGCATACTTTACCTTACCTTACCTTGCATGACATAACATATGTATCTTATATTCTGTGGCCTAAAAAGCTCGGAGAGCTGAGATGGATTTCTACCGGCAGCCGACCTGTCTGGTACTTTCCGGCTTCCTACGGCCAGGTGCCCCATGTGCCAGCTGAACCGACAGTGCATTCCATGTGAATCCCCTGGTCCGGATAGAAAGGAATCCTGGAAAAGCGATGGAACCGTGAAAGCAACCGAACTTGGACCCCGTCCCAATCCTGACTCCTTCCACTGGTACACGGTAGAGGTAGGATTAGGCACCCCAAAGCGGGTAGACACAGGCGACTGCCCACAAAGTGTTTCATGGACTAGGCTTCGTTCCCAAATGCGCCTCTCCCAAAAACGAGGACGACGAAACGGACGAAGCGCCTGGACCGTAGGACCGTGTCAAATGTCGACGGAGCCATCCCGTTGCCAAAGTTGAAGGCTGCCGTTCTCCGCCCCAAGGACATAGATGCCATCATGCCCGGCACAGCACAAGGTCTGCACCTGTGAAACAGGTGGCTGGAGGCACATCGTCGGATGCAAGTGTGAGCTTCGAAGGGTTGGCGCCCGATCCACCATAGAAAAGAAGTGTTGGTCGTATCTCATGCACGTCTCTCTCTCTCTCTCTCGGTAGCATCTGGCTACAACGCAGCCGTCCCGCAGGGTCATGCACGTCTGGCATACTTTCTTTCGCACGAGTCTTTGCCCTTCGACCGAGTGGATGCAGAGGATGTCAGGCTATGTCAGGCTCAGCATCTCGTCAGAGGGGTCACTTCTCGTCACGAAGGCCACCATCCTGCCATCTGGTGCCTGCTACAGCATGCCTGCTACAGCATGCCTGCTACAGTATGCGAAGCCTGCGCCACCTGGCCCATCCCATCTAGACCAGACCCCCCCCGTCTCGATCCCCATCTTGCCCTGTGCTCACCTTGCACCTCTCGAGCGCTTGCCAGTGCTTCTTGAGCACGAAGTTCGGTAGAGTGATCGAGCTCACTTGGCCTTTCCTGAGGCATCAAAATCAGTGCAGGGGGCATATACTGTATAATAGATCTGCCAGAGCTCCCAGTCCATTTTAAAGTTAAACAAACTAGTCTTTCGGCGGTTCCTTCCTTGCACTCTTGCACTGGAATTTGTCCATGCTGCTAAGCTTCTACAAGTCATTTCGGAAAACCAGGGGTCAATGATATGTAATTTGTGATGGTGCAAATCTAGAAGCCCTCAAAGAGAATGTTCACAAGTTCAACCTATAGATTTCCACCGACCGTGCTGAGGCCAAGGCCAGCACCTGGCATACGTGGCCCTCACGTCTCGAGTCTACAGCCTACAGGCAGGGGCTCTTTCTTTAGTGCCTCATTGGGCGTCGCGTTCGGCCTCCAGTCTTGCAGCCCGAAACGCCTCTTTGGAGGCCTTTCGAGGATCGTGGGCATCGGTGAGACGGTGAGCCCAAAGGTTCAGGCGTGGGCTCATGGGGCAAGGTGACTTCGGCCAAGGCGAGGACTATGAGACACAACCAGCGATGGTGATGACAGAAACAAGCTTTCAACTCTACGGTTTTCATGCAGCTTCAGCTGCTTGAAGACTGAACTGATTCTGACTTGCTCCGAAGCTCGAATTAAAGGCCATCTGGTTCAGTTGGCCTTGGACTATGGCACTATGGCAATGGTCTGCCATACAGCAAAAACCCGCTCATTCAAACCAAAAAAAACGATCTTTCAGAACTCGTGGGTAGAGCTCACGAGAGTTCCGAGTTCCCATTACTCACTTGGGGTCCACCTCGTGACTTGGCTCCTGCTCACTGACGATGAGCTTGTGCACCACTGGGCGGCGGGAGTGGAGCAGTGACAGCTGGAAGAGCAGCAAAAACACCACAAAGACCCCAGAACCTTCGCGGGGAACGAAGCGGGCGCTCGGCGGATGGATTCGTTCGGGAGCTCGGCGTGTGGAAAAAGATCACGAAAAGTCAAAAGAAGATCTCAGGATTCCTATTTTACGATATGTTGTGGACGCTCCTTGTGCCACACAGGCTCCTAGATAGGCACCCAATCGTGTCATCGGTTTGCTCCTCCTCTCCCATCAACAATCACCAGCCAAGGGGTGCAAGTCATTGTGCAAGCCCATGGTTGGCCCCCTGATGAGGCTTTTTACTGCGATGGCTAGATGCTCCAAGCGCAGCTTTAGAGAAATCAAGTGGGAAAGAAAACTTCACTGAGAATTTGCGAAGATTCTTGAGTATACTCTCCTAACTGGCATTTCATAGGGTCAAATCACTGGCATTTGATAGAGGATCATTCACCGGGTGTATCGTGGATTATTGTGGAATGTCGTTTGACCGCGAGATGACCTTCCCCGTTCCTACAGCTTCACCGGATCTATAGTGAAATTCCACCGGCCTTGTAGGTGCCCACCCGCAGAAAAATCATTTGGAATTGGACCATGCCAGGCCCTCTGGTTGGGCACCCTCTCTTGGTTGTGAACTCTGGGAGAAGTTCCGTGTCTTCAACATCTCAGAATGGCGACATGGTCACCCAGCCGCTAGCGGTGAGGGAAGGGTCACCGCTTTGGTCGCGTCAAGAAGCCGGCGAGGCAGTAGATGGGAAGGTTGGACTCGGGGTCTTCCAAGTACACGGTCAGCACGCCACAGGCCATGGTGAGCATGGTGAACAACTTCAAGTCCTGGATGCGTCGATGCCGGAAGGAGCTGGGGAGGTGGGTTGTTTTTCAGGCCGACTTCTCGTCTGAGGCTTGGAGAAGTGCGTTGCTTGGAGAAGTCGCCTTGGAAGATCCATGACCTACACATTGCTACCTTCCTTGCGACCATCCTCAATGGTTTACCCATGCTATCTTCGTTGCTACGTTGATGGCGGGTCCAGTTCCTCACTTCTCCATCCTGGAAGATTCAGCCATGCACAACGGGCAGACGCCCAAAACCGCTATCCCCTACAAAGCAATGGGGCACCCGAAAAGAACCCAACGACGGCGCCAAGCTCCTGTACAGCCGCTGTAGACCACTTCTCTACAAACCAAAATCCAAGTCTCGCACCAGAATGCAAGTTGGGGCTCAAGTTGGGTCTTCTCATCTCCAAATACTCTACAACCCAAGTGGCTCCAGAACCCGGAGCCAAAACCCGCCTCGCGACTGAACACGTTTCCAGGTTCGGTTCTGACATCAAAGACGTCCCGGGCGAGGAAAGGGAGGGAAAACCAGCTGAAGCACCTGTGAAAACGAAAGATGGGTCATCTTCCAAACGAAGACGAAGGCTCCTGAACCAGGATGGTCATCTTCCTCTCCACATAGGGTGGGTGAATCATGGAGTTGCCTCAGTAGCTGTGCATGCCCACATGCTGTGCATGGGCGGCTGAGAAAGGGCGGGTGTCGGGGAAGGTGCGGTTGAACAAAAATGGCAAAGGTTTGACAAGTCGACTGTTCCTGCCATGGTCCGTCCACATCACATGTCCCAACATGTCCCCACCCTTTTGGGCCAAGGAGTTTGAGTTTCACCTCTCCTCTCCGAGTTTCGGCCTGTGTGGACCGTTTTGCCTCGGTTCTGACTCCCACTATGAGCCCGAGCCCATCTGCATGCCCAGAAGCCCCACATCATCACGCCGATCAGCAACACCCCAATCATCTCCACCAAAGGCGTGGGTGCCAACAAGATCGTCACCACGGGCAACCTGGGAAAGACGGCGCATCCGGCATGCATCTGCAGGGGCAACCGGGGCAGAACCGTTTTGGGGCGATCTATCTGACCATGCTCGAAAAACCACTTAAGAGGGTGGAAGTGGAAGGACACTGAAGGAAAGGGTCCAACCAAGTTCCTTGCAAATTTGTCCCTGGATCCTTTCCATCCTTTGAGCATCAACTCTCTTGTCACTACAAATCTAGCAGCTGGCTCTTCCTTCATCCGTTTCAATGGCGGGTCACTGGGAAGCGAAAAGCGATTTAGCTTAGGAGGGTCCCGTCTAACCGTCTCCAGTGTGGAGCCCATGTCTGGAGACCAAAGCCCCATGCCAAAGCCCCTGCAGCATGGCGAAATCAACTGCAGCCCTACCCGCCCCGCGCCAGCCCGCCCACGACATCCCCCCCCCGGACCGAGGATTCCAAGCCACAGGATCTTGGCCACCAACTCGAGGATGTTGGTGCGGAAGACCTGTCAGACCCCGTGGGCTCGCCAGAGCGGAGATCCATCGGTGGAGACTCGACTCGGAGCAGCAAGACCGCCGGGGGCCACCATGGTCCAGTCCGAGTGATGTGAGCGGACGGGTCCGGAGGAAGCCATGCAAGAAAAACGAAGACGGTTCAGTCTTGCAGTTGCTAATACAGTACTTGCGTGAGGATTGATTAGAGATGGCTTAGCCTATATCTTACCATACGCAAACTGAGAGGGGCCTGGTTTGGTCCTTTGGTGCAGCACGAAACCCGCCTCCTGAGCCGTGTCAAACACCCATCGTTTGCTCACAATTCAGTCATTCAGTTCAGTTCTTGTGATAGATAGATGGTGATACTTCTTCGCACCACTTCACCCCTCACACCCGGTTAAGCCCGTTCAAACCAGTTAAGCCCCACGCTCGCTCACCTCGTTGGTTCAACCTCGGACCCGCTTCCTCCACGACCGGCCTCCTTGGGGTTCGGATGCAGGAAGGCCAAGTGAAGATCGGTGGCCGAGCGCTCCGCGGCCTTCCACCAGGTATTCTCATCCTCCCAGATCCTCGGAGCACCGCGCCGACCCCGCCGCGCGCCCGAGCGCGCGTGCGGCGGAAGGGGAAGGTTCCATCGGTGCCCCCCGACTTGGGGCCACAACAAGGGGGCGTGAAAGAGCAACAAGCTCTCCAGCTGAGGAGCTTGTAGTCGAACAAAATGCTCTTGGGCACATAGTGGGCATCTCCCGCACAGACCTTGGCCCATCGAGACTCCGGGCACGGAAGCGGCGCCGACGGAAGGGCGGGTCGGGAGTCCACTTCCGAGTCGACATGAAAAATGTGGATGAAACAGCGCCCAGGCCACAGCATAGGGCACCAGCACGTAGAAGTAGATGGGCAAAATGATGGCGATGACCACCAAGAGCCTGGGCATCGACGGCACTTGACGCCACGTGGACCGCTCAGTCCCTCCACTCCACTCAAGTCCATGAGTCCATGCCGTGGGTCCAGATGAAGGGATGACACTCGTGCCAAACACGCACGGTGTCGTTTTCCCATGACTCCAAGGGCTATACATATACTACTTGGAACCTGCTCCCGGTTGGAACATGGGAACGCTTCCCGCCGGTCCGACACATGACGTGGTGGTGACTGGTGGTGACTCTTGGGAGGGCCCAAGAGGAGAAGAGCTCGCTTGCGGGCACCGGGGCGTGCAGTGACCAGAGCTCACTACCGAGCTCGAGGCTCAAATCCCAACGACGCGCCTTCCTGGTAAAACAATTGTCAAATCCCAGGCCTTTGGATCAAAGAACTGTCATTCCAGAAACCAACCCGAATGCTGCGAGGGCCATGGATGTGCCATGGAGGCCTTCATGAGCGGCGTAGTCAAGTTCACTCGTTCAAGGACCGAGTATTCATCATGGGGACTCCCACTCATCGCCCGCAGACACCAAATGTCCTACAAACTCCCAGGCGATCTTCATCTCCAGAGAGCGAGAAAGATCCGTTATTCCAAGGGGCAAGGTGTGGTTGCCCTGGAAGCACATCACGTCGGGCGCTGAAGCCAAGCGGATCTTGTCATGCCTGGGACCGCGCGAATCCGAAGAGTCCCGGTGCTTGGTGCTCATCCACCGGGGTCGTAGCTACTGTCTGACTGAGGCCATTCAAGAGGTCCCCTCAGAAATGTCCAGCCGGTGCTACCGGATAGGGTCCATCTCTTCAAAGTGAAGGGACGTCGGACGTCGCTTCATCGGTTTGTGACCTGAGGTTGCTCCAGCATGTGGGGGGGAAACTTCAGACTGTCAGAATGAGCGAACACCAAGCTGCGGGTTGCCCTGCACGATCTCAGTCATGATCTCCTGAGGTG